ACATACCAGTGTGCAAATTCACGAAATTAATTAGTAATTTAGCCGTAAAAATTTTACATGTGAAACGACATGAAGTTCTTTGCGTGAAAAAAAGTTTACGTTACCTTTATCTGTCTACCCTTATCTAAACACTCACTCGTACTTATTTTACTCACATGATTGACGAAAAGTCTTGGATTTTTTGTAGATTTCAACGAGAGTACCTTTAATTGCTTGTTCAGTGTTTTCCCATATATGAAGCCATCTGGCGTATTTTACAGAGTAAGCGTGGTATTTATATATTGATGAAAAGCCAACTTTGACATTTTTCAGTATATTTTTACCATTTTCAATAATTCAACACTGAATTAGCTAATAAAACGATATTTACGATTCAAAAGTAGGCAGAAATCATTAGCTAATTAATTATTTTCCATATATGAAAATCAATATTACACGTGAATGTTATGTTGAACTACTTAGTTTTGGGCAAAGTAGCTAGTATTCACTATACTTTTTATCTGTTTCTTGTTTTATTTTAATGTTTTTGCTAAAGACACGACTTGATGTTGTTGTTATAGATCAAACCCTATGAACTTTAATCAGTCTATAATCGTTCTTTTTCTTATTGTCACTTCAGCGTATATTACCTACTTGATCATCTTTATTATAAGATATTGGCAGGACTTTTGGAATAAACGAATATAGTTTGTTTTCTGAAGCTTGATTATCCATTAATATGGTACAAATAATATTTTATTTATTTAAATATGGTGTAGAGCTTTCGTGTCGAGCCGACCCATCACCAGTACAATCTAATTACGCAACGAACAAATATTTTTACACTGTACTGATGATAGGTCGGCTTGACTCGAAAGCTTTACAGCATATTTAAATAAATAATATGTAATGATATGTACAAAAGTCAGATTTAGTAGAAAAAATATGCTTTTATTACCTTAAAAATACTTATTGTTTTATAAGATATCTCCCTTTGATTGAATCAAGCTACAACCATTAGTTTTGCAAAAATCATGTATAGTCAAACATAAAAAGTTCACCAGTGATTCTGTATTTTTGCAAAAGAATGAAAGATCGCTTCTGAAGTCCAAAGTATTTTAGCGATAATTTTACAAATCAAATGAAAGTTTTCAACGTGTTCGAAAAAAAATAGACTAGTTGATATGCGCTAAAATAATTTAATAAGCGTGTTAGACCGAGTTAGATACGGATGTATAAACCCGTTTCTGAAGATCGTATGCGAATAGTCGAACTCGTTGGTACTGTTGGTTGGTAAATGGTACTAAATCACATTCTAACACATTGGAATGCATTAAAATTGGTCAGATCAACGTGTTCCACCACGTTCGAGTTAGAATTCTTTCCAACTCTGTCACATTTTTTAAATGCGTCCGTGTTCAAACAACATCCAACGCCTTAAATTTATTATTCTGTAACAAAAGCGTTTAAATTCATCAGGTATCTACTCACTTATTTTCTTAACTTCATTTAATTTTCAATTAGTTTTTTTTGGATGGATCTCTGTGTCCATCCGGCAAGATCTATTTCGCAGTGTATCTCAGTAGGAGAGTCTAGTATTGCAGCTAGTCTAGTAACTAGATTAGCTGCTTTCTATTAGTAGAGGATAACTTACAAGATTTTAAAGTTAAAATATTCCCTAATGTACAAAGTACGACAGATTGAAGATGTACACATATTTCAAGCTTTCTACAATCTATTTTCAGCAAAGTTTTCATCATTTGTTTGTAATGATGAAAACTTTGCTGAAAATAAATTCTGCGAGGAATCTGATGATCTTATCTAAAAGTACACGTCAAGTTTTAATAAGGTACGTGGTATATGATGTCTGTTAGGTTAGAGGTGGTTTCAACATATGTCAAGAATTTTGCTGGTCACTCATTGTTTTAATACTTTAGTTTTATGCATTTCTTCTAAACGTATTAGAACGAGCTCGAAATGTGCCAAATACTTGTGGCGCGTTTGAACTAGTTTGTACTTTAGATAGTTAGAAGGCATTCGACAGGAAAATTCAAATATAAGAAGACTCTAACGTGTTAGTTTTATCCCTTTTTCTCCAACACGTTGGAAGGTGTAACAAATTTGTTTTCACCGTATTAGAATCTGTTATGTCATAAATTTTCTTTCGAACGTATTGGAAATGTCGTTCGGATGGTTCAATTACCTTATGGATAATGCTCAACTTGATTGAGAGAAAAGAAAGACAATTTTGAAGACTTAGCCTCTAGAAAAGATCGGTTCATAAGTTTTTAAGGTCTGAACTTATCTGTAACCTAAAATAGAGATTAAAACTCTTTTTCATGGTTCAAAAATATCCAGAATCAAATTTAATCTTTTGATTTTGTAAAAGCTCATTCAACGTTTATTTGAATTTATGTTTGTTAATGATCGATTGTAATGATGTTTTATAATATTTGACAATATCCTTCATATTTCTACGGTCCCGTTGAAGCCTAAAGTTCTATTTATACATATACTTCTGAACAGTGAAAGTGTTTCGACAATTTTGTTACTAAACGTGGATATATATGTATATATATACACATTAATCTTCACAACAATTTGTTGAACAAAATATGAACACATATCATTACTAAAACGGATTTTTGCTTTCTATACGATTTAATTACCATAAAAGGGCTACATATTATCGTGAAAGAAAAAAAACGAGATCAAATGAACTGTCAAGTGATTATTTTTTAAAGGATATAAATGTGCGATTGATTGAGTTCGTTCATTCTTCATTATTTAGTTATATAAACGGTATGGCGGCACGGATGTTGCTGCTATTCATTGTAAATGAGAGAATGAAACGTGAAATTTTATTTATAAATGATGTATATACACTATATTACATTTAGTAGGTAAAGATTTATTAGTGAGCGATTTTTCCATTATAATCGAGAGAACAGTTGTAAAAATTGTAATAGGAGAGAGAATATCAGTCGAATCGATCAGACTATAGTGCATAACAAAAGATAACTAATTAATAAATTAAAAAGACAAATTACTCCAGCAGAACTGAGCGCTCATTAAAATAGTATGATTTCTCTCTTTCACTGAATTTAAAAGTATTTTATTAGCGTTCTTTCCTTTGTAATTCTCTTCTGTGCTCTTCAAAAATACACTTAATTAAAAACGTGAATTTAAAAAAGATTTTGAAAAATTCAATAAAGTTATGTAAAAAAGTCTGTAAAAGATCTGACTTTTCAATAGTTTTTTCTTTTTTCAAACTAAAAATTTTGAGCCTCGGAAAAAAATATCATGTGGAAAGTGATGTTCCTTCGGTCATCATCATCATTGGGTTCATGCTAAATGAGAATAAGGATGGTTAGATCAGAGTTCAAATCTGATTCGATCGGTTTAATTTCAGGATACTTCCTTATTTACTTTCAATTTATAGGCAAAATTTATTGAAAAAAACTAAAGAATATTATTCTTGTCCTCGACGCAATGTTTACATTTCAAATAAAGTTAGCAGTCAATACCCTTTCATACTTCTAAAATATATCTCACTATCTGATCGTCTGATCTCTCAGTTATCTATTTTTCAACAGATTTGTTTAAAGTTTCTCTCTATCATCAGGATTATGTCGTTAATAACACAAAATTTAAATGGACAGAATGTAAATTTTCTCTCAATGACCAGTATTAATGTATCGACATCTGTGTCAGTTTGTAGAATGAAAGGAATTCACTTCCAATCCTAGTGTGATTACATAATCTGTATCATATTACCTTCATAATATGTAAATCCAGACGGTCTCTTTGAGGTTATAACCACATGATCTACAGAAATTATCACACAAATGCCAAGTCATCGGTTCAACAACTGACACTTGGAAGACTTTTACATCTTTTAGACGTCACGGCAACATTTAACGAGTCCAGTTGATGATAAATCAGTTATTTTCTGGAAAACCAGTTTTTCAAGACCTCTAAAAATAGCCAGAACCTTTCTTAATCACACATGATTGTAGCGCGCAAATTTCTGATTAAAATGAGATAACTCCTACCTCTACATGACCTTTCTTCGCAAAGTTATAGAATCTGCAAGGAAAACCCTAGATGTTCATTGTCAGCTCAAAGCTATAGAAATAACAAATTAATTTAGAGCTTCTCTTCTAAATTCTGTAACTTTGCAAACAAATGTCGTGTAGAGCTGGGACACGTCTTATTTTAATCAGAAATTTGCAGACCACAATCATACCTCATTAAGAAAAGGTTTTGGTTATTTTTTAGAGCTCTTGAAAAACCGGATCTTCAAGAGTCATGGGCACGAACGGCTTTAAAAAGATTTTTACACTGTGTTCACAGTTCTCAAAATAGGATTTTTCATATGCACGCTTCTTCATATTTACACATCAATATGTAAATAGTAAAACAACCATAACCAAAATGATTCGCAGACAATGGCTACTATTACGAATTTACGTTTCATAAAGCTGATCGTTCTCTCCAAATCTGACCATAAATAGTCAACCGTTCTCTTTTTAGCCTTAATTGAGTTCTCTAAAAATTTCTTCTCTTTAGCATACATCAAATTAAAGCATGTTATAATGTTTTTCTAGTGAATTTTTATTGAACTGTGACCATTTTTTTCCTTGCTTCGAATGTGCTGTTTTGAGACACATATGTATTATTAATAATTTACCAAATATTCTTAAAAAAAATTTGTTACAAAAAAAATAAATCTGAGAAATCGAAACAGACAACGATTAAATGAAGACAAAAAACAAATGGAACAATTTTACCTATGTATATAGAAAAACTCAGTATGAAACAAAACATGTAAATTGGAAAAAGATCTTTTTACAGAAAACAAACAATACAATCACTGTTACATAAGCAGCAGTCGTCAATTTTATTGGTACACACTCAAGATACCTCACCAAAACAATCCACACGACTTTATATCGTCCACCACTCGACTAACACGTGGTTTTTTCAGCCGCATTGTTCGATTACACGATTAAATTCAATCATTTACAAAAATATTGCTCCACTCGTCTTAAACATTTTCGACATCTCACTTCACAACACCAATGGAATTGACATTCGCAGTCCTGTTCAACTGTCTTAATGACAACTTCATAGCCACGATCACAACATAGAACCGAACAACTGCCCGGTTCATTAACTGTTAAATTACATGGACGTCCCTGAGTTCCCAATGAGCCTAATCTTAAATTTTTCTCACAAAATGATGGTGATTGCTGAACGTAAACGAGATCAGTGACATTAAATAACTTAACAAGACGTTTTCTTGGTTTTAAAACATTTAATTTTCGATTTAACCGTACTTGTGTGGCACTTTGATATTTTAAACGTAATTCCGAGCCAATAACGCGAAAATCAGGTAATGTACGCCAACATACACGCAATGTACATGAACCAGAAACACCATGACATTTACATGTTAACTGAACATTACGTTCAACAGCCTAGAATCAAATCAATATATATATATCTTAGCACTGCCAAAGAAATTTCTATAATACATGCAACATGATCGATCTAAATTCAGTTTTAATATCCATTTAACGGTAATAGAGGATCTATAAACTTTCAGAAGCGATCAACACATAGTGTCTGTCGAATTTCATTCTGTTTCTATTTATGTACTAAATAATTACATTTAATTGCCATACATTCTTTACACAGTTTTCTATTGCGTCTCTATGTTGAAAAAATTTTAATCTGTCTTGCATCGTTTCTACCGTTAATCTGATTAGAAATATATTGTTAGTGAGAACGAAAACAAAATGATATACCGGTACATCTGTCTACATATATGTATTGCACTTTTTCATATCGTTCCTCACAATTGATACTCTATTATTTTCATGTACAACAATAGGTGTATATCCCATACAGGTTTAGATTAATTATATTGAAGATATCAAAACAGATAATCTATTTCAAATTACATAATAGTAATAATCAATTGTTTGACAATCTGTTAGAAGTGAAAGATCTTATTGTTGCTGGCAACGAAGCGAAGACAGAACACGAACCCTACCCACCATAACACGATAAGATCTCCCCGACGCTAATACCTATTCCTTTTATGAATCAAAGTAGCGATAATAAAACAAAATTGTATTACCTGTCTTCCAGCTTCATTGTTATGTAAATTGATCATTCGGACAATTTTTCGTCTGCTGGTTGATTCTTGTCCATCGACAAATGTTTCACTAACATTTCGTCCATATTTAATATCATGTGAACAACCGCCCCATTCCCAACCGACAGCATCTGAATTTTCATTAGACGCATCTGTTGTTGATGTTTGTAATGCTGTTGTACCTTGTTTAATCGGTAACAATGGTATTCGATGATGACGTTGCTGATTTGTCTGTGTTTGTTGTTGTTTATCACATCCACATTGACTTAATTCACCTTTCGCACATGCTTTACCAACAGCATGAACAACAGCAGCAGACGTTAAAGCATAGATAAACGCTGTTTCAGGTGTTTCTAAAAAGAACAAAATCCATTGTTGAAATCAGATAGTGAACAATCGATCTACTAGATAGCGTCCTCTTGTCTACGTTATAGGCTATTTATGTAATATACACTTGTATCCTTGAAGAGCGTGAGAGAGAGAAAACTAATTGTTATTAGGGGGCATTTATTCTACTTGATTACGTTCGCAATCAAAATTAGCCTTAAATACATAGTGTTTACATTATTATTGTTATTGTTTTAAGCTCTTTTGTAAATAATAATTATTGTCTGGAGCGCCCAAAAAAGAATACACATCAACGTGTGACACATTAATTAGTCTATACTTGAATAGTGCATACAAATACACAAAAGGTCATGGTCACAAAAAGGGAATTTCTGCTTCATATGACAATAGTTGTGTACATATGTGTATATGTATGTGTGTCATCAAATAGACCGTATAATATATAGCTTGGAGCAATTTGTTTTCTTTTTCTTCATTTTTTATGACAATAACTTTATTATTTTTACAAGTTATTGAGTATTACGTATTTCCTTTTCACTTTAAAGTATATCGTGTACATTTTGAAGTGTTGTTTCATCGTTATGATGAGAGTATGTATATTCATCCATACTGCGTGAGCTTTTTTGAACATTTGTCTCTGATGTTTTGACACTTAGTATGCATGTTCTCATACTCATGACTTACTTCTTAAAACAATTTTTCCAAAAATATCTGAACTATTAAATATCGTACAATTCCAACGTTGATTACGAAATTGATATTGACATTCATCAATGGCCATTGCCACTGCCGCACTAATAACACGCATCATTTTTGGATTTGTTTTACAGTACTGTTTTTGTTCATTGGATAAAAATGGTATAGATGAACAAAATTGGGCTTGTTCAAATGATGGCTGTTGAGATGACCATAATTGAAATACTGGTAAACCCAATGACCTATGATAAACAGTAAATTAGCTTATCTATGATCCGTACTAAGATTAAACAAATCAATTTTCGAAGTCTATTGGGGTAGCTCTTTAAGTTTTTATTGATGTAAATCTTTCTTCATAAGTTCTTTTAACTTTTTATCAAGCTTTATTTAGAGACAAATTTTAACCGTAGTAAAGGATATAATTCTATATGCTTAACAATTACTGTGCTTTTGATGAATAATAATTACAGGTGTCATACTATTTTACCCGAATCGATGATCATCTTTTTGCATCAGTTACACCGCAGAGATAATCAGACAAGATATAGACACAGTACAATGATTATCTATTGTATCTTCAATAAAAGACTACATTTATGTATGTGAAATTTTATATATGACAGTGTATATAGATTAAAATAAACTAATTAACGTAAATTGGTTTCTATATTTTGTGATGTGTTCGGCTGAGAACGTCACCGTTATATAATTCAATAGAAAACAATACTCTAAAATAATGACAAGTTTACGCAAACTATGCAATGTTCTCATAATGAAAAACAATCTGTCCATCAACCTTTTAGAGAGAGCTAATTGAGATATCTTTGTCTAACCTAAAACTTAGGAAAAGTGAAATGTACCATGTAATGCTAACGTTTATATAACGTCTATGCGTTCTGTCTTGTGTAGTTGTCTGTAAACGATTAATTTTTCAAAAAATCTCAAAAAAAAGATCCTATCGAATGACGATTAGACTTCAAACACAATCACTTAAATTCCTCCTTCGTAAGTTAATTTAAAAGATTTTTTAACTATCCAATGTACTTTAAAAAACTTACCACCAAAATGCGTCAGCTGCATATCTTGATAATAATATTAGACAAATAATAAACGATTGATTACTAAATTTTATTAACATGTTTACACTATACAAACACGACAAATTCTTTTTAATACGATTGTTTAAATTAAAATATGTAGAGATATTGTCGATATCAATAAATATGAACTACGAAAAAAGAGAACAACAATAGACGGAAAGATAGTGTGTGTAGTCGCTGGGACAAATTTGATGACAAACGACACGACCAGAGTGAAACGAAACTAATAATAACAATATTGTGAAGTATATTTCATGTATATACTGTGTTCAGAAGAACTTTTGTACCCTCATACATACTGTATATACATACGTACACATCATCTTATCTTCAGACAGAAAAGCAAAAAAATTAAATATATTTTCTTTTCTCTCTCGATCTCTCTCTTTTTTTCCTTCTCTCGTATGTATGAAAATGTGTTAACATTCGTTCATTGTAAAAATAGAAAGGTGTGCAAGAAAGAGAAATAGAAAGAGTTAATTACACCTATTTGTGTATTTATCGAGATGCGATGAATGTCAATTGGATTCGTGATATCTATTATTTTTGAACCATTCAAAAATTTTAGTTTTAAAAAGAGAGAGAGAGAGAGAGAGAGAGAAGGCTGATATCATTAAAAGATCAGTTAAACATAGTTCAATCGATAAAGGAAATTGAATAAGTGCTTAACATCCGGGAGAACTATATATACACACAGAAAAAGTTTTTCTATTGCCTAAGTCTCCTCATTCGGAATAATATAGAGTATCATACAAATTTAGATTTCCGCCATTAAAACGACATTATTATTTTTAAAGTGTAAATAATTCGATAAAAAAGTTCGATCACATTAGTTGTGCATCATCTAATAGCTAAAAATTAAAGAGCAATGGCTATTCGTTCTTATACTATGTCTATACTACTGCAATCATTTAGTTTATATACAAATAGATTTTTCTTTTAATCTCTAATCATTTTCGCATCAGAGTGTTTAAACAGCTCAAAGAAAAATGTTTGTAGATGGTATATACCATTGGAAAAAAGCTGAAAAGATTCCCTAAAAATTGCAGCATGGATCCCGTATACTAAAATTTCGATAAAAATAGTAGAATGATCCCGGATTTAGAAAAAAAATATTTTCGACAGAATTGATCCTGGAATAAACTAATTTTTATATTTATTGTGCAGCATTGATCGCGGAAAACTTTTCTCTTTCTCTTTAACAAGAGAATTGATCCCGGTTGACGTGTGATGCAAATGTAAAGATGGCGTTGAAACATAAACAATAGCAATGTGTAGCGGCCACATCTTTTTTCATACTTTTTTCACTCACATCACTTTTGACTATTACTATCACTATTAAACAAACTATGGCTCAAAATACACGGTTATTAGTTTTTACGTGTGTAAACGAAACTCATTTATTAATTTTTTATCAAAACTCAACGTGTCCGCAAAAATCGAACTGAACAATTCATTGGTGGTGTATCAATTACATATAATTGTTTACAGTACTGAAAATATCCGCTATGCGAGTATCAATTGAATATAGTATATAGAAATCAGCGAAGAGCTTTGGAAAAGAAGATCTTATGTGACCACTACACACGTCAACCGGAATCAATTCTCTTGTTCGCAGAAAGAAAAAAGTTTTCCGGGATCAATTCTGCACAATAAATATAAAAATTAGTTTATTTCGGGATCAATTCTGTCGAAAATATTTTTTTTCTAAAATCCGGGATCATTTCTACTGTTTTTATCGAAATTTTAGTATACGGGATCCATTCTGCATTTTTTACGGGATCAAAACAATTACCGTCCTATACCATTTGTTTCAGGATGAAAATCGTATGTAATTGTATCCAGACGTCTTTGTGTTTTATCAGTCTTGCTACTTTTAATGAAAGAAATTTTTTACACGAAGAAGAAAGTTATAAAACGAGTTTCACTGATTGAGTATTGATTCTCATTTCTAACTCAATATTAGAGCAGTCAAAGTCGAATGGTTAAAAGGATTTAACGCGTATACAAGTTGTGTCTTGTTTTTTGTGTTTCTAGATGATGATAGACATTAGAGTATAGTCTACTTATTTGTTTTGATGATGCAAAATTCTATTTAATCCTTCACGATCACCTGTCCGTCATAGTATATGATATATATATATATGATCAAAATCATCATCATGTCAGATTAAAGAGTTTTGTTTTAATCTATCGTCTCTACTTTTATGATCAATATTATGTGCACTTCACTCTGGTCAATGTACATCATTAATGTTGATGAACATTAAAATCTATGACTATCTTAAATTAAGTTCGTCGTCATTATTGTAGAAGAACACCAGTTGTTATAAACATATCAAACACAGCATGTTTCTCTACTCACTTTCTTGATATTCCACGCATCCTTTTATCTTCGTGATTTTTGTCACCAAAAAAAGACCTTCATAAATTATTCATTTATACCATGACAAATACAACAAAAAAAATCGGTGTCAAACTGTTCATAGTATAGGAGACACGAAAAGATGTGACGAGGATAGAGCTTAATTTATTCAAACTATTACATAAAACAAAACTTGTAGTGAGAGTAGTGACAGATCACCATTTCAACCTTGTCATCATGTTAGTTTTAACATCATGTTATATACTACATGTGCTGTTTAATATAACATTTGTCTTTTGATCTATTTATTTCAAAGATTTTTATGTTTAGTACTGTAAATATCAGAGTTATCCGAAGGCACCAAAAAAACACGGTTATCTTGTTTGCAATTTTACCATCTAAATAAATATTTTAAATTCATTTTTTGTCACGTATAGCAAAGATGAACAGTCGTCGTTATCATACATTATTATGCAGAAAAGGAGTCAATGACAAAATATTTGACCCTATAATATTTATTTTTTGACCACATTTAAACTCTCTCTCTCTCTATTGTCATGATAATTCATACATTTTCTATTCTAGTTCATAAATTACCACATTCATCGATCTATAAGGTCTAATCTTTTAACAATAGGATATACTTAATATGTCACACAACACCTGCTATATGATCGATGCTCGATATGACACCTATCCTATATGGTCATCTGTATATAGGTAAGAGGATTAAAGGTCTTTTGGTATGAATATACTAATTTTGGGTAACACGACAAGCAACTGACAATATTAAAAAGAAATGAAATTAGTCAACAAGTTTCAATTGTTATTGAGCTTTATTGAATGATTAGATTATCTATTCTATATATATTTTGATTGATAGAAAATAAAGATAAATATCGTGTAAAAAAGAATTTTTAAAATTGGATCAACAAAATCATTGACAAAATCGACATATTTCCAGTTAGTCACTCATTTTGGGGTTTTAGTTGTTATAATTGATCGAAATGGTTCCTCCCCCATGGAAAAAACATGGTGGTGGATAACTTATCGATCAAATAGTATTACATATACTTAACTATATTAAAAAAAAGAAAACGGGGTACGCAAATCATGAGACGTCTCTTTATCATCACAATTGAAATAGATGTTTTCTAGGACGATTAATGAAAAGTTTATGCTCCGTGCTGATAATTTCGACCAAAAAAAACGTTCGGCTTTACAATGAACTTCAGATTTTTAGTGATGTATCAGTGACTTAATTAAATACCAAAAACTCATACTGGATAAAAATTGCTGTAATAAGTCTTGTGTAGGAGTCAAGCTTTATATGCATTTTAATGATGTTGATGCAAGAATAGATTATGTATCAGCATCTATTTTAAATTTTATGCAAAATATCATAGTATTAATAATGTTCAACAGGGTATTGCAAAACGCTGATATATAGTGATGGTATAGTACACAGAAAATAGTAAGATAACTAGAGCAACAGAAGAACTGTGCATATCTTTCAGTTGCCTCATCCTTACCTTAGCATAATAACGGAGAAATTACACACTCCTGGAACAATTTCAGACACTTCTTTAGATTATCTTACGAAGATCGTGTAAGATATTACTTTTTAAAGATCTTAATCAAGATTTGATGCTTCACCCATTTGTGTTGCTCTTATGCATCTCTATAAATAACACTGGAAAAGTCTGTTCAGTTGCCAGTTTTGATAATGTGGGATAGCAGATTTAAACGAGCAGTAGGACATGTAGAAGAAGGTTATCAACACATAGACAAGAGAGTCAAAATGTGTTAGTAAATCATTAATAGACAAGATGATTCTTCATAAGATCTTAACAGACTCTCATTCGATCTTAAAGCGATTTTCGAGCCAGAAACCTGTATCCTGATAAGATCTTATCAGATATTAAAATTTTTGGATCTAACAGAACAGCTTACCGGATGAATTATGTTCGGAGCTTCATATCGCATACGGAAAATACGTCGATCCTGAAATGGTAAGAAATTTGCGACGAATCCTTTATGAATTTCTATGAAAAACGTGAATCATTAAGTGTTTCTTGGAACTCCACAGAGATTTATTTTTCGGAAAGTCTCGGCATCTTTTACTGCTACATTTCAAAGGGCTACCATCTGAAAGACTGTTAACCTGTTAATTCCAGATTATATTGGTGAAGCGTCGGTTTTTTGTAATTAATATTTGTTGAATGTTTTTCTAACATATGCATGACTTCTATAGGTGATACAGGAACAATGTTTCGTATTATTGAATATACAAAGAATGAAGGCTGTGGGACATCAGTAACTAAATAATACTAAAACACATCAACACCGGAGTCAACAAAAAAAAGGAAGAAATGACTACTCTAAATGGGTAAATCGGATCAATATCACTAATTGTTATGAGTTTTATGTCTGATTATTAAGGAATTCTTTCGCTTTATTGTAGTTTATGATACTGTAAAATGCTTGTTGCTGACTATAAATTCACTAAAATATTCACATTTCGATGTTAATTATAGAATAAGCTATATTTGTGCTAGAAATATACGAAGGAATAATATAGCAAGTGATTGATTATGTGATTTTCTTTAATATAGGTTTAGTGTTTTATTCACAGTTTCATACTATTCCCTTTCTTCTAAAAAGAATCTTTATTCATCAAGATTGCGTCCTAAACTACTATTAATAGGAATATCATCACACCGTCTGGTGTTCTACTGTAAGAGAAATGCTATATGGATGACTTTAGAAAACTATAACCATAAATAACTTTATACGATAATACAGATCTTTCTTCATGGCTAAAGACAACCGCATGATGGCGCAATTTCATAAAGAAAGCTATAAACTTTATGGAAGAAAGAAAAAAATTTCTTTTCTTACTCTCGCAAACAAAAATTCTCTTATTAATAAAATCATATTCTCGTTTAAATTAAAATTCTCTCCAAAAACACATGGCGCCAGAGAGCTGAAAAATTTCAAAGTCCAAAATACATTTTTCTTTCACTTGTGGTGCTTATGTATCGAATCTGCACCTTTCTGTGAGAGAAAAATGTGTATTGATCCATCTTCAATGTCGGGAAAATATCCTATCTTTCCCAGAACTTTTCTAGCTTTCATAGTTCTTTACATCATGACGGCTGGTCAAAAACGCGCATCCACAAAAGCCAATAGCGATTCTAATTGGGATTTAAATGATGTTTTGTACTTCTTAAGTGGAACCACAATAAAGCGCTAGAAAATTCTTTTTTGATACCCTTTGTGAAAAATGTGAAAAAAGGGGGAAAATGAACTAGACGGTAAAAAATGCGTTTCCGCTTTTTCGACTTTTTATTCTGCTTTTCTGGTCTAAGCTTCTGGCAACTCTGGTTACGAAGCCTGATTTTACACTAGTTCTAAAAGGGTGAAATGATCTTATACATAATTCAGAGTTTTGCAATTAGTGACACAGAAGAACCTGCGAAACGAACTAGCTAATATAAAGTGCGGCCCACTAAAAATATTAAGTATGTACAGTTTTCTTGTCGTAGAATGATAATTCGCGCTTTAAAATAAATTTTACTCAACTAAACTACTATTTGTATCAAATAAATCATGTGTACGCACTCCTAATCATACGTCAGAATCAACAGACCGTTCAGTGCTGTCTGTGTGATCGTTATACTGTGATGTTATAGAATAATTAGGGTTATAATCGGGAATTTTGTATTTTTCTTTTTTGTTTCCTTGAAGATTTAGTATCTCACTATTTTTCATACTCCCTTTCTGCAGCACTTGAGACTAGCTAATGTTTTTTTGTTACCACTCACTCCCGGGACAAATTTCTGATTTAGTTCCCAAAACAGTGCGCACCTGCTTTTATAAAAGTTACAAAAGCATTATTTTGACAAGACATTCAGCCAAAATTTTTGATGAGAAAATGTAAAAGTCTTCATTGCAGGAAAAACGACAAAAACAAAAACTCCTCGAAAAGCGGACAAATTGCGGATAAAACTACAGAAAGTGGAATTTGTCCGCAAAATGTGGACCATCTGGCAACTCTATTCGTAACTGTTGATGATGTTCTTTTAATTACGTTAGCGTTATTACCACGTAAATTATCTTGCACATTTTCAGATTTACCTCTGAAGTCGTTCGCCCACAAATAAAACTAGAATACAATCGTACTGCGCATGAATCGTGAATGCAATAAGAAAGGATATTGATTAATTTGTAGAATGATGGACGGAATGAAGAATGAAGGTACTGAATGCGCATGTATGGTAATGTGATCGCACGAATGTACGGTGGAACTGTTTGTATCCTCAAAATGGGTAATGCATACAGATTCTCTGCACAGAGGTCTTTCCATTTTCCTGTTATGAAGAAGTGACCTCTCTCATAAAACAGTGTATAGACGATTTAAAAATCATCTGTCATTTGCATCTGTCATTGGTCGTATTTAACCAATGTACTCCGGTATGGTAAAGAAACGCGCCTCTTTCTTCAAATATTTTTTATTATTTTTCAATGATTTTCAAAGTATCTTAAATGAGGCTCAGATACATGTTGTCTCTCTACTCAAGTGTCGTCTGCTTAAGAACGAATTGGGTGTGCGAATCACCGTTTATAAGCTATCTAACTTTTCCTTCGATATTTGCTTATTAAAACCGAGCAACAAAGTATTTTGTTCGAATTAAACTGAATATCTGTTTTAATCTGTAATATAGAATAATGCCAACACAGGCGCAGAATCTACCCGTAAGAATGAAAAACTTCCTCCGACGGAAAAATTTCCTAGTGTCGGAATATTTCCTATAGAAAATACTGTTTACCAAAAATGCTACTTTTTGAAGTTTTCCCTGAAAAATTTCTCCGAAATCAAAATTTTCCCTCTATGAACGCCGGAGCAAACAGGAATATTGTGCCTCTGAACGCCAATTACAGTAACGATGTTTTAAGCTGTCTATGTTGAAAACTTTTCTTTGTATCTTTAAGTTAGTCAAGAAGAAAAAAGATATCA